CCTGTTTATATATGATAATGTTTATTTTAGATTCAAAATGTATCAAGTGTGCTGTGAGAAACAGAAGAGTTCACGAGGGTGAAGAGGACCTTTTGTGTGTGTGTGTGTGTGTGAATATAGATTCTACGTGAAAGTTTGAGTTCATGTGGGGGAGGGGTGGTGAAGGGGGCCTGTGTGTGTGTGTGTGTGTGTGTGTGTGTGTGTGTGCGCGTCTGCATGAGTTCAAATTCAAAGATAATATAATGCATGAATATAAAGAACAGAATGAAGTAATATCTTCAGAGAAAAAAAAATAAAGTGATTTTGAAATCGAGAACAGATGAAAAGGATTACACATTTTGAAGTACGATATATTTTTTGGAGAAAATATTGACAAGAAACAATAAACAAATTTACACACTCAAACAACAGCGGGTTTATCAATAAACACTTGAACACTTGAAAATGTACAAGTAACAAAAAACACAAATTGCAATAATAAATGAATAAAAAGCAGAATGAATCAAATGAAGCCAGGCTCTATATTACAAATAGGATTATTTTTCTACAAGAAAGTTTGAGTTCACATGGGGGAGGGGAGGTGAAGGGGGCCTGTGTGTGTGGTGTTTGCGCGTCTGCGCGTGTGTGTGTATCTAGATTCTATGGGAAAGTTTGAGTTCACGTTGTGGAGGTGTGTTGAAGGGGGCCTGTGTGTGTGTGTGTGCGTGTGTGTGTGTGTGTGTGTGTGTGTGTGTGTGTGTGTGTGGGGCACACTGAGCCATATTTGATCCACGGAGCAGCCCACAGCTTGTAAGTGATGCATAAAACAGCCACTATTCTCTGCCGGGTCATTTTTGAACTGTAACACCACAAATGTCACTTTTTTTATTTTTTTTGAGACCTTTACAATTTACTGAAATGGTGAAATTTTTTTTTGTTGAGTTAAAATAGTTGTGTCTGAGGATTAGATGAAGCCTCGTTCCAGTACAAAAAAGCAAATGGTAGTTTTTACAAACCTAAACTTGAAAAACGGGTCAGTTTTGACCCGAACACAATATCAGGGTTAAATTGGCTTATAGAAAGTTGTGATGTAACCTGAAACATGGTAATATGATAAACAAATACATTTGTTCTAAGCATTTACTCATCTCTTCAGCAATTCTGATACAGTCCTCCAGATTAAGCATTCAGCGCCTCTTCCTTGGCCGAGATCCACTGCACTGATCCTCAGCAGAACAATAAAGAGTCTGAGAAGGTCAAATCAGATTTTGTAAATGCACAATCCATCAGTGGCGTGCGGTCAGGGCAACCAAGGCAAGCAAGCGGTTGTCCAGTAAACTCTAAAATCATTGCATGCCAAAAGTATAATTAAATAGTTTTGAATTACATCCAAATAATCCCATTTTCTCCATGTTGAAACTGTGTTGAATAAACCCGTATCATCAGCCACAGGAGTTTGTAGTTTCACGTTTGTAATGATCAGATATTAGTTAGAAATACAGGCTGTGATTTAGTCAAACGGTGAACGAGTTTCAGTGCTAGTTTGTGTGAAATGGAGGATCTGGATGGAGTGATGCATAATTGACAAGACCACAAAATATACCAGGGTTATTTGAAGAGTCTCACCGTCTGCTGTAAAACTCTACACAGTCACTGATTCTGAAAGTACAGTCGTGGTCAAAAGTTTACATACAGTACACGTTCAGAAACTAAATCCCCTACTAACTTCAAGTTCCACGTTTCATCCTTGAATAAGCGGCCATTCTGGAATGCATAGGGTAATAGCCTTTTGGAAATAAAAAGAAAAGGCATAACTTCCTGTTAATCATTTATTTATTTAATAGTTCTTTTAACAACACAACTTCTTAGTGGTTCATAAGTTTACATACACCCACATGCCTTGCCCAATAAACAATACATTGACTGAAGGCAGCTTGTGCAATCAACCATGCAATGGTCCCATTTAGTCCAGTGTTCAGTCATATTGCATATTTAACAGGTTTTATACATTTGAGGGGTATATAAACAGCTTAACTTCACACGCACTGCATTGACTTGATATGGGGAAGTCAAAACAACACACTCAGGACATTAAGGACCGAATAGTTGCCTTGCACAAGGCAGGCTCATCCCTAGGAACCATCTCCAGGCGGCTTCATGTCCCTAGAGCATCTGTTCAGACAATTGTCCAAAAATTTAAGTACAGTGGAAGTACAGCTGTATTGCCACGGCCTGGAAGGAGGCGGAAACTAACACCCAGAGATGAAATGCTTTTGGTCAGAAAAGTGAAAATGAACCCACAGACGACCAAGAAAGTCATGTGCAATGAATTGGCTGCCTCTGGAACAGATGTATCAGTATCCACGGTCAAGAGAGTTCTCCATCGACATGGGCTGAGAGGGTGTCGGGCCAGAAAGAAGCCATTACTTCAAAGAGAGGCACAGAAAATCACGACTGAAGTTTGCCAAACAGCACCCTGAACAAGGATAAGGCCTTCTGGAAGAATGTGCTGCGGTCAGACGAGACGAAAATTGAACTGTTTGGTCATAATGACCAACAGTATGTTTTCCGGCGAAAGGGTGAAGCCTTCCACCCCAACAATACAGTTCCAACTGTGAAGCATGGTGGAGGAAGTCTCATGTTGTGGGGGTTGCTTTGCAGTGTCGGGAACTGGAGAACTCCAGAAGATCAATGGAATCATGAGGAAAAGAGGATTACATAGAAATATTGCAAAGAAACCTCAAAAAGTCTGTCAAATGTCTGAAGCTTGGTCGAAATTGGATGTTTCAACAGGACAATGACCCGAAACACACAGCCAAAATAGTATCAAAATGGTTCCAGACAAACAAGGTGAACATGTTGGGAGTGGCCTTCACAGAGTCTGGACCTCAATCCCATTGAGAATGTGTGGAGTGAACTGAAGAAACAATTCTGTAAGAGGAGACCAACAAACGTAGCACAACTGTACGAAATCTGCCAGGAGGAATGGCCCAAGATCTCCAGGGATTATTGTGAGAAGCTGATTGAAGGATATCCAAATCGACTTGCTGAAGTTATCAAGGTCAATGGAAATGCAACGAAGTACTAAGCCCTGAACGAGTAGGTGTATGTAAACTTATTGAACA